CAGATATTTACATTACGATTCATTAACAGTAGCAAAATCACAGTTATGAAGTAGCAATGACAATAATTTTATGGTTGGGGGGGTGGTCACCACAACATGAGGAGCTGTATTAAAGGGTCGCGGCATTAGGAAGGCTGAGAACCGCTGCTCTAGAGGCTGGCTCAGGAGCATGGTGTACAGATGGGGTGTGGCCCGAATGGCGTGGCTCAGTGGTTGAGCATCGACCTATGAACCAGGAGGTCACGTTTCCATTCCCAGTCACGGCACATGCCCAGGCTGCGGGCTTGATCTCCAGGGTGGGGCGTGCAGGAGGCAGCTGATCGATGATGCTCTCTAATCATTGATGTTTCTCCTCTCTCTCTCTCTCTCGCTTGCTGAAGTCAATAAAGACATTAAAAAAAAAAAAGATGGGGTGCGGGCTCTGGGAGAATGCATCCCTTTTCCGGTGACTTCTCCTGCAGCGGTGGGGTGCCCTCAGAGGAGGGCTCCAGCAGAGGCCCTGAGAGCTGTTCCTCAGTGTGGGCACCACCTGGGACTCTCAGCCAGGCTCCAGACCCTGCTGAGTCAGAATCAGCATCCTCACAAGGTTCAGGGTTTGTGTGCACATCAAAGTTAGGAAAGCACTGCTCTAAGGCACAACACCCAGGCCCAGGGCCCCTCTGGTCCAGGTTTGGGGGTCCTAGCAGCGGGTATCAATAAGCATTTGCTCAATGAATGCCAACTGTCACCTAAGACAGGCCCGGTAGCCACCAGGTGGGTGGCTGCCTGGCTCACGGGGCCTTCACTTCCTTTTTCTCTGGGGCCTCCGTGGCTGCTTTCACTGTGCCCGGCCTGAGCTGATTGGTCCGATAGGAGACACCTGACACACAGCGGGCCAATCAGATGACCTCGCTCGGAAATTGGACCGTTAAGCCCCTAGAACAATGGAGTAATAGATAGCAAGTCGCAGTGGCTGTCTTTCCTGCACCTGTGATGATCCCAGATGGTGCTGAGTTTCATGTGTAGTGTAACCCGGTCTTCACAACAACTTCCGCCAGTGGGTGTTACTCTTCTGCTCACTTTTCAGATGAGGAGACTGGGAGGGCTGGGGGGCGGGCTGGACCTGAGCATGTGGCGTGGTGTGTGTGTGTGTGGCGTGGTGTGTGTGGGTGGCGTGGTGTGGGTGGCGTGGTGTGTGTGGCGTGGTGTGTGTGGGTGGCGTGGTGTGGGTGGCGTGGTGTGTGTGTGTGGTGTGTGTGGGTGGCGTGGTGTGGGTGGCGTGGTGTGTGTGTGTGGTGTGTGTGGGTGGCGTGGTGTGGGTGGCGTGGGTGGTGTGTGTGGGTGGCGTGGTGTGGGTGGCGTGGTGTGGAGTGGTGTGTGTGTGTGGTGTGTGTGGGTGGCGTGGTGTGGGTGGTGTGTGTGGGTGGCGTGGTGTGGGTGGCGTGTGTGGGTGGCATGGTGTGGTGTGGGTGGTGTGTGTGGATGGTGTGTGTGGGTGGCGTGGTGTGTGTGGTGTGTGTGGGTGGCGTGGTGTGGGTGGCGTGGTGTGTGTGTGTGGTGTGTGTGGGTGGCGTGGTGTGGGTGGCGTGGTGTGGGTGGCGTGGGTGGTGTGTGTGGGTGGCGTGGTGTGGGTGGCGTGGTGTGGAGTGGTGTGTGTGTGTGGTGTGTGTGGGTGGTGTGTGTGGGTGGCGTGGTGTGTGTGGTGTGTGTGGGTGGCGTGGTGTGGGTGGCGTGGTGTGGTGTGTGTGGGTGGCATGGTGTGGTGTGGGTGGTGTGTGTGGGTGGTGTGTGTGGGTGGCGTGGTGTGGTGTGTGTGGGTGGCGTGGTGTGGCATGGTATGTGTGGTGTGGTGTGGAGTGGTGTGTGTGGTGTGGGTGGTGTGTGTGGGTGGCATGGTGTGGTGTGGGTGGTGTGTGTGGGTGGCGTGGTGTGGGTGGCGTGGTGTGGTGTGTGTGGGTGGCGTGGTGTGGCATGGTATGTGTGGTGTGGTGTGGAGTGGTGTGTGTGGTGTGGGTGGTGTGTGTGGGTGGTGTGTGTGGGTGGTGTGTGTGGGTGGCGTGGTGTGGGTGGCGTGGTGTGGTGTGTGTGGGTGGCGTGGTGTGGCATGGTATGTGTGGTGTGGTGTGGAGTGGTGTGTGTGGTGTGGATGGTGTGTGTGGGTGGTGTGTGTGGGTGGTGTGTGTGGGTGGCGTGGTGTGGTGTGTGTGGGTGGCGTGTGTGGGTGGCGTGGTGTGGCATGGTATGTGTGGTGTGGTGTGGAGTGGTGTGTGTGGTGTGTGTGGTGTGTGTGGGTGGCGTGGTGTGGGTGGTGTGGGTGGTGTGTGTGGGTGGTGTGGGTGGTGTGTGTGGGTGGCGTGGGTGGTGTGTGTGGGTGGCGTGGTGTGGGTGGCGTGGTGTGGGTGGCGTGGTGTGGGTGGCGTGGTGTGGGTGGCGTGGTGTGGGTGGCGTGGGACACCATCGTCAGCGTCTGCTGCCAGGTCTCCAGCCTCAGGATGATTGGGCCAATCACCCAGCAATGGCTGTGCGCAGTGCAGACACCTGGCTCTCAAGACAGCTGCGGCCACGGAGGATGGGTGGCCAGGGACAGAGTGAAGGGCAGGAGATGTGGGAGAGGGGAGCACAGAGAACCTCCGTTCCCCAAGCAAGAGCAGGGCGCTGGCCAAGGCCAGCCCGGCCGTCAAACTCCAGGCCAGCCCGGCGAGCTCCCGGGGTGAGGGCTGCGGGAGATCAGACCCCCGAGCCTCCCTCCAGTGGGTTAGCAGCTAACGGGCCACAGGGAAGGTGTGAGCAGCAGACTGTGGAGGCACAGGGGAGGGGCAGGGACGTGTGCCTCTTCCTCGGTTTGACCCCGAGAAGCTCCGGGGCTGAGGCACTGTGCTGGGCCAGGATGGCGGAGGCCCTGTGAGGCCAGGTCCACGGGGGAGAGCGCAGCTGGGGCCTCACGGGCTGGAGCCAGGCTGGACCCTGGTTCTGGTTCTCGGGGATCAGGCTCCGAGTGGAAGCTGCCATCTGGGCAGGGGTGTGACCTGGGGCAGGTCGGCCTCCACCCACCTCAGGAGACAAGCCAACCGGCAGCAGAAAGCTCTGTCGGAACCCACGCCTCGGCAGGTGCAGGGCCGTTTGGCTTTATTGAGGACAAACCACCTTCTCTGGGCGCTAACACGGGGGGGGGGGGGGGGCATAACCTCGCAGTCGAGGTCACACGCACTCGGGCCACCTCGGGCCGCTCACCGCAGAGGGCTCACACGCTGGCGGCTTCCTAACCCAATCACACTTCTCGCTGCACGGCTCCCCCTTAGAAAAATCACACCATCAGAGAAGAATCCTTTGCTGCCCCCGTGACCAGGGTCCAAAGCTTGGGAGCAGAGGGGCTCCTCCTGGCCCCTCGTGGTGATGGAGGTGGAGGCGGAGGGAGGGGGCTTGCCCAGCGTGGTGGCCAGGACCCCTCAGGATGGTGTGACGGTGGCCAGGGTGCTGCCAGGGGCCTCCTTTGCAGCAGAGGGATGGCAGGGACCCCCCACACCCACAGGTGGGGGCGCAGCCCTGGCAGCCCCGCTTGTCCTCAGTGTCTCTGAGGCCCCGCAGACGGGGATGGAAACAGCTCCAGGCCCACACGGCTCCAGGTTTCGCTCCTGTGGCTTCTCTCGCTTTGGTTTTCCAGGGAGCGACATTCAGGGTAAGGGCTCGCAGCTCTGGGACGTGTTCGGGCTCCTCAGACAGCCGTAGCAACAACGGAGTAGAGCGAGGACCCTCTCCAGGCACTTCGCCGACTCTCACGGGGACGGGCAGAGGGACCCTTCCTCCGGGAGAGGGGCCTCCGGCCTGCGGGGTGCAGGGCTGGGTGAGGAGGCCCCTGGCACACTGTGAGGAGACCGTGCTCCGCCAGCCCGACCTGGGCCTGTGGCTCTTCTGACAAAGAGAGAGGCGTCTGCCAGTTCCCGGTGCTTCTGAGGTCCTTTCAGCTGCACCCAGCCCCTGGCTGCCGAGGGGCCGGCGTCCCACGCTGTGCGGGGAGGGGTGATCTGAGATGGAGCCGAAGAGGAGGAAACGCAGCGGAGGGACTCGTGCTGACTGGGCTTCACCTCAGGGCGGAGCCTGGTGCAGCCGAATCCACCAAATGGCAGGGCGCAGGGCGACAGCACGTCTAGCTCCGAGCCTCCCTCCTTCCAGCAGACGGGTGTTTAGAGCCTGACAGGTCTCAGGCCCCTTAAAAAATCTTACTAAGGAGCGTTTCCTTCGTCTGAGGAGCCCTGGAGGGTTTCGTCCCAATGGCCCAGCCCCGGCCGCCCTGGCCTCACCAGCCAGCAGTCAGGGGGCCAGTGGTCAGAGCCACACAAGACCGAGACCGTGGGGATGCCGGAGCCAGAGGCATTGGCTCCTCCGAGGGCCTGGCTGTGGTTCATCTGGTGGAAGCCGTGGAGGCCAGACAGTGTCCTCAGGAGGGAGGCTGGGACCGAGTCTTGAGGACAGATAAGGGGGGGGGGGGCAGGGAGGAGCTGATGGCAGTGCAGGGTCCTTCTCCAGAGGGGAAGTGGGAACCAGCAGGGAGGGCCCCGCAGGCCTGTCATCTCACAGCCCCCGGGGCGGCTCCGCAGGGGAGGCCCTGTGGGACGTCCGGCTCAGCCTGTTTCCTTGGCAACCGGCCTTTTCCAAGCCGGAGCCCGTGAGGCCCAGGTGGCGGAGCGGCAGGTTTGCGGGAGGCAGTGCCAGCTGCGGGTGGGCTGTGCCTGGCAGGGGGCCACTGCCTCAGGTGGCAGAGGGGCAGGTGGTGCGGGAGGCAGAGGGGGTGCCAGCAGGAGAGGCAGCTGGAGGTTGGGGGACTTTTCTCGAGCCTCCGTCGTTTCCACTTCGAAGCTTCAGTGTCGGGACCGCAGCTCTGAGAGCTCCGTGTGTCGCCCATTTCCTCTCCCATCACACGCTTCTCTCCGGGTGTCAGCTGGCTTACTGAGGAGAACAGCTTATTTATAGAGGTTTCTGGGTAGGTTTCCGTTCCAGGCGAGGGGAGGCTTGCCAGGGCTGCTTCAGAGGGAGGGCGGGAGGCGGCCGGCCGCCAGGGCCAGCGGGAGCAGCAGCAGCAGCGGGGAGGCGCGGGCGGCGAGGCCTGGGAGGAGCACAGACAGCGTTAGGCCCGGAGGCAACTCGGCGGGACCGACGGCGCCCACTTCCTCCCACTCAGCCCACCGGCCGCCTCTTCCTAGGCGGCTGCAATTTTCCTTCCCCGTTTTTTTTTTTTTAATTTTATTTTATGCATATTCATTCCTTTCAAAATGACACCACCTGTACATTTATGCAGCTGCCTCATCCTTTCTGAAGATTACTTTTAGCCTTTTTAGTCATTATCCAGGTCTGTCTGGGCGAATCAGCCCGTTCCTGCTGCAGCTCTCTGCAGCCGCCTGTTCAGACCCTCCCGAGACACTGCACCTCGATCACCTGAGCAGAGCTTCACAAACTGTGGTACCCGTACCCCCAGGGGTCCGGGAAGAGTGTGGTGGGGGTACGCGTTGCACCGGAGTTTGGTGGGGATATGCACTGCACCGTGCTTAGCTGTGCCTAATTCCACATTCTCATGAGGGGTACTCAGCGTTATGAAAATTTAGAAGGGGTACACCTATGTCAGAAGTTCGGGAAACTGACCTTGAGGGCCCTGAGCTCCCTGAGTTCGGGTGGCAGGCTGCGGAAGATGCAGGGCAGCAGGCAGGACGCCTGCTCTTCCTCCGCGAGCTGTGCGCCCGCCGCCAGGGTTCCCCCCGCCGCCCGCGCCCGGCCCTACCTGCCCGCGAGCACTGCTGGGACAGCATCCCTTCCAGGGCCGCCACGTAGTCGGGGCCCAGCCAGTCGAGGTAGGTGGTCCTCTCCCCCACGGGCCCCGCCCGGACCGTGGCGTCCTTGAACAGCAGGTCTTGGCCGTGGTAGTCGGAGGAGTCGAACATCTTGAACCCGTTCTTGTTGTGGTCGTCTCCAAACAGGCCCTGGAAGCGCACAGGCAGGCCTGCTTTCCCCCGGGCCCACCCCGGCCCCGGGGCTGCGGCCAGTCCCGGCTTCCCACGAGGCGGCCGGGGACAGGGGGATTCTGGCTGCCGGACGCTGCCCGAAACCACGGCTGGCAGCTCACCGACCAAGGACATCAGAAGGGGTTGGAGTGAGATGTGGTGAAGCTACCACAGGAAGGAGTGGAGTGGCTAGCCATCTTTTTTGGGGGGACTCAAGGATCCTCTTGAGGATCTAATGAAAGCGACCAGCCTTATCTCCAGAATAACACACATCCAAACGGGGACTGCCCCCAGGGCATGCCAGAGAGTTTGGGGGGGAAGGGAAAGAAGGGGTACTTTTGCCGAAACCGGTTTGGCTCAATGGATAGAGCGTCAGCTTGGGGACTGAAGGGTCCCGGGTTCAATTCCGGTCAAGGGCGTGTACCTTGGTTGCGGGCACATCCCCAGTAGGGGGTGTGCAAGAGGCAGCTGATCGATGATTCTCTCTCATCAATATTTCTCTCTCTCCCTTCCTCTCTGTACAAAATCAATTATAGTATTTTAGGACCAGAACCCTGTTGCCAGACAGCCTGGGTGAAATTCTAGATGCATTTTGAAAGTGCAGCCACCAGGATTGGCTGGTGGATGGGGTGCAGAGCTTGGCAGGAAGGCTGGAGTCCAAGGTGACTCCCGAGGAAATGGAGAGGCTCAAGGGGGAAGGCTGAGGGGAGGGCTTGTTGGAAACACCAGTTGAAATGCCATGCAGGCCGCTGTTAGCTGCAAGCCTGATACTGCAGGGTGGATGGCAGCCGGACGGAGGGAGTGCATTTGGGAGGTGTCTGTCAGTGTATCCACGGACGTTAAAGGCCCAGGACTGGATGAGGGCTCAGGGGTGCAGGTGCAACAGAGAGAGGACTAGGATTGAACCCTGGGGCCCTCCTGCTGCCCAGGCCTGGGAGTGAGGAGGGACCGGAGGCTGGCAGGAGCGGCAGCCAGGCAGGCGGGGGTGGGCCCAGGCCAGGGGAGACACCAGGACGAGGGGCCTGCGCCCCGGGCTGCGGAGAGGTCAGGGAGATGAGGTGGGGCTGATGGGAGGCATTGGGCTTAGCAACCTGGGTCCCTGTGTCCTGGACCAGGGCAGTTCCGGGCGGGGTGGGGCGGGGTGGGGCAGGGTGGGGGCTGGTCTGGAGTAGTCTCTATCCTTAAGGGAGCCCGGAAGGGTAGGACTGGTGGCTCCAGAGCAGAGACGGCTCTCTGAAGGAGTTTTGCTGTAAAGGGCAGTGGGATTATGGCTACAAAGGGATGTGAGACCAAGAGAGGTGTTTTTTTTGTTTGTTTTTGTTTTTTTAAAGATGATAGACATACCAGCATGAGAGTGGCCCAGCTGAGAAGGGAAAATTAATAATGCAGGAGACAGAGGGGAGGCTGGTTGGAGGGAGGTCCTTGGCTGAGTGGAAAGTCACTAATCCCTCCCCTTCCCCGGCAGCCTCGGTTCCCCTGAGGTCTGCTCCAGGTAGACGGAGGTGTGCCCGCTCGGCTCCCCCCCCCCTCACCTGGGCCTTGTCCAGCAGCCCGTACACGGCGAAGATGTTGGTGTCCGGCCGGACCATCACCGCGTGGGACGGCATCTGGGCCAGGTTGCAGTCTCCGAACTGAGACACCTCGGCCCGGGCGCCGTTGGGGCACAGCAGCTCGTAGTCCTCCGACCGAAGCTCGGCGGCCCAGGGCTCGGGATTGTGGCCTGAGGGAGAGAGGGGGGAGGCTGCTGTCCTCCTGGATCCCCGACCCCTGGCTGGGAAGAGGGGGCCGTGTCTGCCCAGCCCCCAGGGCCCCCCATTCTCCAGCTGGCCTGCCCGAGGGCCGGGATGAGAGAGCCGGCGGGAGGCCGCGATGGCAGGAGCCACAGGCGGAGGAGGAGGGCGTGCCTGCTCTGTGACAGGCATTCCCCAAGCCCTGCTCCGTCCTCTCCAGGGTCACCGAGGCAGGCACCCCCCCTTCGGTGGGTGAGGAAACACAGGCGCTACTCACACCCATCGGAGTCTCCCAGGCCAGGCCTGAGGGTGGGTGTGTGTCTAAAGGTGGTGTGTGCAGGAGGCAGCTGATCGACGTTTCTCTCTCATCGATGTTTCTGTCTATCCTTCTCCCTTCCTCTCTGTAAAAAATCAATAAATTAAAAAAAAAAGGTGGTGGCCGACCTCCTTCCTCCCCTGACAGCTGACGTTCTCAAACCAGATGGGGCACAGCATCCTGTGTGGGCCCGTGAGAGGCCGCCCCAAGGGCCCCACTTGCAAAGAGCCTCTCTCACTCGGTAGTTTGTTTTCTTGGGGGGGTGGGGGCAGGAACCTGGGCTTTAAAGCAGCCCCCCTCTCCACCCCCGTGATTCTGAAGCAGCTTGGCCTAAGGCTTCCCGAGAAACAGGGTCCTTGGGGGCATCACTCTGTGCCTTGGTACCCCCCTCACCCTACTTCCCGCGGGAACTTCAGGCGGGCCCACGAGCAGAGACAAGAAAGAAAAAAGGAAAAGGGAGCCCTGGCCAGAGTCGCGAAGGGGCTGGAGCACCACCCTGCACACCGAAGGGCCGCAGGCTTAATTCCTGACCAAGGGAACCTGCCCGGGCTGCACAGTCAGTCCCCGGTGGCGGGCGCGTGAGGGGGCAGCCACTGACCGATGTGTGTCTCTGACATCGATGTCTCTCTCTCCTCCCTCCCCGCCCCCTCTCTCTCTCTCCATCCTTTCCCCTCTATCTAACACCAATGGAAAAATATCATCTGGTGAGGACTGAACAACCAAACAAAAAATACACAAAAAGCAACAACAACAAAAAAGGGAAGTGAGCAGAAACCGGTTTGGCTCAGTGGATAGAGCTTCAGTCTGTGGACTGAGAGGTCCCGGGTTCAATTCCGGTCAAGGGCATGTACGTTGGCTGCAGGCACATCCCCGGTAGGAGGTGTGCAGGAGGCAGCTGGTTGATGTTCCTCTCTCATCGATGTTTCTGGCTCTCTATCCCTCTCCCTTCCTCTCTGTAAAAACATCAATAAAATATATATATTAAAAAAAAAAAAGGAAGTGAGCAGCCCAGGAAGGTGGGTGCTCCCTGCAGGTGGTACTGGAAGGCCTCCCTGACCCAGGGGGCAGGGGCCAGGACCAGGCAGGCTCCCAGGCTCCTGCAGGACACTCCACCCCTCCTCCCGGGAGGAGTCCAGGCTCTCGGCGGAGGCTGGCAGGAGAGAGGGGCTGTGGCCACAGGCCTGGAGCCCTTCTCAGCTCGGTTGAGGCAACTGGTGTGCAGCCCGGTGACCTTCACAGGCAGGCGGGTCTGAGTCCTGAAATCCCAATGGATGTTTCCCTGCACGTCTTGCTCTCCTCCCCCACCCCCACCTCCCCTTGGGGACACTCATGCCTCTCCTACGCTGAGTTTCTGTGCGGAGCTGTGCTAGGAGCGAGTGGGAAGGACTGTGCCTCTGTGTGTGGGGTGTAAAGCAGGGTGGGGAGGGTAGGCAGGCTTTACAGGAAGTGCAGGCGAGGGGTGCTGGAGGGAAAGGGAAGGAAAAGATTCCCTGCCTGAGGGAGAGCAGGGCGGGCAGGGAAGGGGTGCATGTGAGGGGCCTGCGCCCTGGCAGGACCCTGGGTGGCTCAGGGGTCTCAGAGCACAGAGGCCCTGAGCGCTCTTCCCCAGAAGGAACCCAGAAAGGGACTCGGGAGGAAACACCGCCCGCCTCTCAGCCTGGGGCTCAGCGTGGCTTCCCTGCACCGGCATTGACCTGCTCGGGGCTAGAGACCAGAAGCTGCTGTGAGTGACGCCCCTGGGGAGAGAGGCCCCTGCCACCCGCCCCACGCCTCCCCGCACCTCGGCGCCACCCCGATGCCCAGAGCCTCGCCCCCGGAGGTCCCGGTCACCCAGGGCTGCCATTTCGGTGGGATATGGGTTTGAACGCTGGACCAGGAAAGACTGCCGTGCGCTCTGAGACCGACGGGTTGGCCCGGGGTCTGTTCTCACCACGAGGCTCATGGGGGCCTGGGGTCCCCCAGGGCCAGAGGCTTCTAGACTCAGTCTTTCCTGTCGCTGCTCGGCCCCCAACCCCAGCAGCGCCTGGCGCCGGGGAACCCCGGGATGGGGGAGCAGCCCCCCACATCTGGCCTGCCCCCCCCCCCCGTACCGTCTGTGTTGTCAAAGACGGTCGTGTGCTTGACGAAGGCCACGTCCCCCGCGTGCTCAGCCAGGCACCTGCCACGCGGGAGGCCAGAGCGGGCGTCAGAGGGGGGCCAGCCCCGGCCCGGCCCCGCGCCCGCCGCCCGCAGGTACCTGAAGGCGCCGCCGTAGCCGAAGTACCGCTCCTGGCTGCTGCCCTCGCACCGGTGGCGGCCCTGCTCGTCCCCCGCGCACAGCGCGCACAGCGCGGGCGGGTAGTGCCCGGGGCTGCTGGCGGGCGCGCAGCTGGCGCTGAAGAACTCGCTCACCGCTGGGGGCAGGGACAGGGCGGGCTGAGGGGCCTCCGCGGAGGCGGTGGGAGGGCTGCTCCCAACCGGGCTGCCCACCCGGCCGGCCCGATGGCTCAAGGCCGCCCGCCCGCCCGCCCGCCCGCCCAGCTCTAAGAGGCAAGGCCCCTGAGAACAGCGGGCAGGGGAGAGCCAGAGGCCGTCTGGATCCAGGGACCCCCTGGGGAACCTGGCGAGCGGCCACCCCGTCGTCCCTGCCTGGCGCTCCCTCAGGGACGGGGAGCTCACTGCCTCCTAGGCTGGCCTGTGCCGGACAGAGCACCCGCCCCGCTGCCTGGCAGTGGAGGCAGCCCATCCCAGCTCCTCCTGTGTGCCTGCGGAGGCACCAGAAACAAAAGTGCCAGCCAGGAGAGAGGTGTGGGCGCCTCCGCCCAAGGATCTTGCAGCTGCCTCCTGCCCTCCTCGAATGTGCACGATTTAACACGTGGGGGGGCACAGATGGCACGTGGGGGTGCGTGGCGGTGTCGTCTTCAGCACTTACCCAGATGGATGCCATTTGCCATGCCCCCCCCCCAGGGCTGCTGGGGGGTGGGGGTAGGCCCACCGGAGCCGGTTCCACTCCGGGTGATACGTGGGTGGGGGCACCATGGCACCCTCCACAGAACCACCAGATACCCCAACGTCCCCGGAGTATTTCCCGCCCCCCACGTCACGGAGGAAGAGAAACCCTCCCCGGCCGCCTCCTGTGGGTGCTGGTGGGAGAGGGTCCGGCCCCGGCCCACCCCCCAGAGCCCTGTGTCCCGGGGGGCGCACCTGTGAGCACGTCGCAGTCCCGGGGCTGGATGAGGCCCCTCCGCACCAGGGCGCCCACGGGGATGGCCCAGCCGGCCGGGCTGCCCAGTGCCGGGTGGCAGGAGCGCCTGCCCCGCAGCTCGCTCAGGCTGAAGGCGTCGGAGCTGTTCCGCCTCACCACGGCCACCACGAAGTACCCGTTGCTCCTGTCCTCCGCTGGGCGAGGGGACGCCGGTGAGGCCCTGGTGCGCACCTTCCCGGCCTCCGCTGGGCGAGGGCCAGGGCCCCCTCTTCCCCCCCCTCCCTCCTGCTGCTCTGCACCGGGGTGCCCTGCCCGGGCACAGGCTCAGCGTGCCCAGGCCCCAGGGCTGGTGGGTGTGCACATCCCAGGGGTCCCTGCCTGTCCTCCCTTCATGGGGGAGCAGCTCAGTTCTTTCTCCCACCCGCGCCCCTGCCAACAGTCTGCACCAGAGCGTTGGATTCCTTTCTCTCCTTGCACCCAGGTGGCATTTTTCTCGCCTCCTGGGAGGAGAAAGGCGGAGGCTCAGCCGAGGCTGCAGAAGCGTTTTTTCTAAGCCCAGAGACTTTTCACATCTGGGGGGAAGGGACCCGAGGTCCTGGCTGAAGAGGACAGAGCACCAGGGCCTCAGCCCGCGAGCTGGCAGGAAGGGGGCCGCCTCTGTGAGCCGCTCGGTCAGGCTGGACGGGGCTGAGGCTGCTGGTCCAGGCCAGGTGAACTACCCGCCTGTTTTGTACGGCCTGGGTGACAAGCTAGGAATGGCTTTTATATGTGTAAAGGTTTGTTAAAAAGCGAAGGAGAGGATGTAGCAGAAGAGTATGTGGCCCGCAGAGCTAAAGGGCTGACCCTTTGCAGACCTTTGCTGATTCTGGGCAGACTTCCAGTAACGAATGGGGACACGGAGGCCTGGGGCTGCCCACAGCCAGCCCAGGACGGGGCATGAGGGAGAGCTGGAGCTTTTGAAACAGCCAAGAGAGGAAGTTTATCTATACTAATAAAAGGGTACTATGCTAATTTCTGGCTTTTCATCTTCTGGACAAAGCCACGGTGGCGGGAACCAAGGCAGAGGCAGTTAGAGGTAATCAGGCCGGCAAGGGAGAGCAGTTAGGGGCGATCAGGCCACCAGGAGGGAGGAGTTGGGGGTGATCAGTCCAGCAGAGGTGGGCAGTTAGAGGAGATAAGGCCAGCAGGAGGGAGCAGTTAGGGGCAATCAGGCCAGTAGGGGGAGCAGTTAGGGGGCAATCAGGCAGGCAGGCAGGCAAGTGGTTAGGAGCTGGTGGTCCCAGATTGGGAGAGGGATGTCTGAGTGCTGGACTGGAGAGGGTGCAGGCCAGACTGAGGGACCCCCCAACCCCGTGCATGAATTTTGTGCACCGGGCCTCTGGTATACATACAAATATCAACCACCTCCCAGCCAAAGCCAGCAGCCTGGCGCCTGCACTCACGGGCATACTGCTCGCCAGCCGCCGGAACCAGGCCATATGTCTTCCCAGCCGTGTAAATGTCCTCACCCCTCAAGGTCACAGCGTCGATTTGCCCGGCCTGCAGGGGGACAGAAAGGGTGGCCAGGATGGGGTGGGCTTCAGGATGGCTCTGGGCGTCAGGATCTGACGGCAGGCGGTACCAGGGCCAGGTCTCTTGTGGGCTTTGGCTCAGGCTCCTTCCACCGGGAACCCCTCCTGCCCCATCAGCCCCTGCTTCTCATGAAGATGTGCGGGCAAGAGGGGTGCCTGGAGGACCGGGGCCTGGGACCAACCCCCACCAGCTCCCGTTCATGAGTGTCTTCCATTCTTCCAGCAAATGTTTCCTGAGGGCGTTGGGCTGCCAGGAGAAGGTCTCCTGGCTGTGAGGGTCGGCTGAGCAGAACCTAGCATGAACCCTGCCCTCTTGCTTGGTATGGGCTCTTCCCATGGAATGCCCGCCCTCAGAGGCCTGGGTGGGGGCTACTGTATCCCTAGCCCCTGGCCAAGGCTGGGCGCACAGCACGGGTGTGAGACACATTTGCAGAACATGAGTGCAGTGGACCAATGACCGGGTCTCAGGAGGACACAGTCTGCGGGCCTGTGAAGGAGGCTGTAGGGCTGCGGGAGGCAGGTGGACACAACTGAGGGCTGTGGTCTGGCCTGCACGTGGGGGCCACCCTGAAAAGAGCTCCTCCCCATCAGGTCCCACCTCCTTGCTCTTAAATAGTAGGAGGGATCTGGCCAGTGTGGCTCAATGGTTGAGCATTGACCTATGAACCAAGAGGTCACGGTTCCATTCCCAGTCAGGACACATGCTCGGGTGGCAGGCTTGATCCCCACAGTGGGGTGTGCCAGAGGCAGCGGGTCAATGATCCTCTCTCATCATTGATGTTTCTATATCTTTCTCCCTCTCCTTTCCTCTCTGAAATCAATAAAAAATACATTAAAACAACAACAAGAAACAAAACAGGAGGGGATGAGTGCAGGAACCCAGGAGCTGCTGGGACCCTGTGGCCCTGGTGGGAGTTCATCCTGCCGGCAGGGCCTTTCGCCACCCCCGAATCCTAGCCGCTGTGTCCAGCCGAGCAGCAGGACCGAGCTGAGTGAGCCTGAGACCAGGACCAGAGCTTCCGACTGTGGGTGGCGGGCATCTTAGTGGCTGTCACGAAGTCACTGTCATGGGCCATGACAAGCGTTAAAACAACAGCCAAAGCCCCCCAGAACGTAACAGGACAGGAACTATCGGCACACGTCATACTCAGTAAGGGAAGTACTGGCTTATTTCATAATCCACTCTACATAAAGAATTTTTAACTTCTGTATCTGAGAGAGTGTTGTGTACCAGACTGTGATTTATGTAACATGTATTTCTGATGGTGGGGTGCTGTCAAAATGTTTAATAAATCATGATCTGTGCGCAAGGGGAAACTGAGGCGCGGAAAGGAGAAGGGCGTGCCCAAGGCCACAGGGCCAGCGAGGGCCGGTCTCACACTCCTACTCCCCACAGGCCACCGTCCGTGAGGAGGAGTCCCTGTGAGCCCCGAAGGGAACACCCCTCTGCCTGCTCCCGGGGGAGGGGGGGTGGCAGGTCCCGGTGGGTCCCTCCTTCTCCCTTTCCCTGTGGAGTCGTCACACGAGACCTTCTCCTCCCCAGGCGGCTGGGCGGGGCAGGGGGAAGGCAGGGAAGGACCATCCCAGGCACTGCCACTCGCGCCCACCGGCCCCGTGCTGCCCGCCGGCCACGGCCCCCACCTGGATTCGCTCCATGCAGTGCCGGGGGGACTCGGCCCACACACACTGGATCTCCGGCCTGAGCCTCTGCCGGCTGAAGGCCACAGCCATGTCCCCGCACTTCTGGATCTCAGGAGCGGACAGCACACACCAGTGCAGGTAGTGGGGCAGCCCTGTGTGAGTGTGAGCGCGGGGTCACGCATACTCGCCCGCTTCAGTGGGGCCGGGGCCGGGGGTGGGAGGAGGTGGGAGTGGGGGGGCTAGCACCTCAGTATGAAGAGCTTGGATTAGACCTCAGGGAAATTCTGGCTTTTCCTCGTTAGCAATAAGGGGTAAGTTTTTTAACCATCTGATCCTGTGTCTTCATACAGATCCGGGATAACTCCGTTTCTGGGGCTGTGAGGAAGCTGGAGGCAGACTGTGGCTGCCAAGGACCTAACTCAACGGCAGGCCATGTCCCTGGTTGCAGGCGAAGGAGGCACGGGGCTGGGGTGGAGGCGGGAAGCCCGTGTGGAGACTAGGCAGTAGTCCAGGCTCTGGAGACAAGGGCTGAGCCAGGGCCGTGGCCATGGAGGAGGGGAGGAGGGGGGAGGCATGGAGGGAGGGGAGCAGGATTGGATGACTTCAGTGCCAAGGAGTAAGGAGCCTTTCCCAGGACAGACCCTGAGGGCCTGGTCCCACCCCGAGGGGCGGGGCTTCCGGGAAACCAGCCACCGGTGCAACTACAGATGCTTCCGCCCAACCCCAGAGGCAGGGCAGTGGAAGTGACAGGTCTCCCCTCTCTCCATCCCCCCGCCCCCGGGGTGGTGTCCTCCCTGGCCACCTCTCCAGGAAGCCCTGCCATTCCTGCAGTCAGGCCGGGTTGGAGCCGGAGGGGAAGGGTCAGGGGGACTTACGGTTGGAGTCACACAGGAGACCCTTCATGGCACGCAGGTACTCAGGGCCCAGCCATGCCTCGTAGGTCTGCGTGGCGATGGGCACCAGCTCTGAGGTGGCGTCCTTGAAGAGCAGGTTCTTCTGTCCGTAGGCCTCAGAGCTGAACATCTGGAAACTACTGTTCTCGTGGCTGAACAGACGCTGTGTGCCAAGGGGGGCTGGTGAGGTGCTGCAGAGAGAGGTGCATCCCTGCCCCCAGACCAGCCACCACCCCCTGCTTCCCGTGCCCTCAGGGCAGGAGCTCACGCTGAGGACAGGGTGAGGCGCCACCTGCCCCCTCCTTCCGTGCCCCCCAGTGTGTCCTGCCTTTGTGACACTCAGCTGACTGCACCGCGGACTCAGGGCCCAGCTGTGGGATGGTACCACGGACAAGCAAAGGGTGTGGCCGTGGCGGCATGAATGGGGCAACACCTAGCTGGTGGGCCCCGCAGCCAGTAACTGGTCGCTCTTGTGAGCCGTCGTTGAGCAAAACATTCCTCACTGTATTGAATCAACGGTGTGCTTGGACATTTACCAGTGTTGTCGTTTGGTTTGTCTGCTCCCATGTCCGGTTTTGTTTTTCAGAGTTAGCTAGCACAGCCAGTGCCGCCCTCCGCTGACCTGGCCTGAGGTCGGACACCGCAGAGGCCTGGGTCCCAGCCGGGTGTGCCCCAGGGGAGGGCCTCGGGGTGCTGCCCCGCCAGGTCTGGCCGGCCCAGCTGCAGGGTGGCTCTAGCCTTGAGCTCCCGCCCTGGTGAGAAACAGGAAGGCCCAGCTCCTCTTAGGAAGCTGAGTGGGGCGCCTGGCACTCACCTGGCCTTCGTTGAGCAGCCGGAAGATGAGGCCTCCATCGGTGTCAGGCCGGATGACCACGGCGTGAGCGGGCACCCGGGCCAGGTGACACCGTCTCCATTCAGTGACGTCGGCCCGGCTGCCATCCAGGCACAGCAGCTGGAAGTCCCGTGACCGCAGCTCCTGGCCCCAGGAGGGCAGAGTTTGTCCTGGGGAATTGGGGAGCCCTGGTGAGCGGGCGGGGAGGGGTGGTGGTGTGTCTCTTAGGAGGGCCTCAGGGACATCCCGTGGGAGGGAGCCTGGGGAGAAGTCAGGGTGTCACGGGCCACAGAAACTCTTTCAGGGGGTTAGAGCCCAGAACTTCACTAGGAGGTGAGACTAGAACTAAACTTGGAGGTAAGAACCCAGAACTACATAAGTTGGTGAGACCAGAACTTCACAGAGGGTAAGAGTCAGCATTACACCAGGAAGTAAGAAACCTAGAACCTTACCTGCAGGTAAGAACCCAGAACTTCACCAAGAGGTGAGAGCAGAATCTGTCCAGAACCACGTCCCAGAGAGAAAAGGGTAACTCTTCGAAGCTTCCCCCACATATTAATCCAATATTAATCCATCTACTTATATTTTGGTATATTTCCTCCAAATCCTTTTTTTTTTATTCTAGTTTCTAACCATTTTAAATATGAGTAAGGACAGACGTAGTTGATAGGCAATCTTGTATTCTACATTTTTTTTCATTTGTCATTTTGAAGTAATTTTCCACATTATTATACACTTTCCATAAAACTCATTTATAATAGAAAACAAATTTACGTGAAGGAGTGAATATTGACACCAAACAGGAAAATTAAGAAGACTTATTTTAAAAAATGAGGAGGATAAGCATCTACTGGTAAATGTAAGGGAAAAGATTATTTGTGAGATCATGAAAATTCTGTTCACCCAAAGCTATTTAAAAACAAAAACCCACCACCAAGAGAGTAATAGTTGGAAAACTCCATAAAGGTCATTTCTAATGATTGCATAATAATTTGTAGCACTCTCTACAATTATTTACTGTCATTTTCTCCTACGCCCCAACTTTCTCTATTTTTAAACTGTTGCAAAATCCTTGTATAAAACTCAGGGGATTGCTGGCCTTCCTGTGAGACAAATGCATCACGCAGGTATTTTGACCTGCCACACCTTTTTCTATGGCTAGGGGCAATTAAAGTCATATGACTTTCATGACTTTAGACATTTATGTCAGTTCCACTCTTTTGCTCTGACCAATTGTTTTGCATGAATACCTTTAAAAAAAATTATACCATATGACTCAGCAATCCCTCTCCTGGGTATCTACCTGAAAACTTTGAAAACATCTCTTTGTAAAGATACATGCACCCCATATGTTCACTGCAGCATTATCCACAGTAACTAAGACATGGAAACAACTGAACTGTCCTTTAAAGAAGAGGTGGTATATGTGTTCTATGGAATACTAACCAGCTGTGAGAAAAGATGAAATACTGCCACGTGCAACGAGATGGATGCATCTCGAGAGCATCATGCTGAGCAAAGTAAGTCAGATGGAAAAGGACAAATCCTTTTTTTTTAATCCTAATTTCTAACCATTTTAAATATGATTAAGGACATACTTGATAGGCAATCTTGACTTCACTAATATGTAGAATATAAAATAGAAAACAACAAATAAAAACTCAGACACAGACAACAGAAAGGTGGTTCCCAGGGGAGAAGGGAAGGAGGGGAGAAGAAAGCGGGTAAAGGGGCCAAATATATGGTGATGGAAACTAGACTTTGGGTGGTGAGCACATAGTGCAGTGTACAGATGGTGTAGAAAGTTATATAATCTTATTGACCAATGTCACCCCAATCTATATATATAAAAGGCTAATATGCAAAGTGTCCCCTCTGGAGACCAGGAGACTTAGAGTTTGATCGCTCGCTATCATGTGCACTGACCACCAGGGGGAGGTGCGGGATGAAGGAAGGCAGCCAAAAGGCCCTGATCAGCCCTGATCACTGGCCAGGCCAAGGGTCCCTACCCATGCACGAATTTCATGTACTGGGCCTCTACTAGGTTTAATGAAAAGATGGGCATGATAGGATTTGCCTGTCTACCTCACAAGGTTGTAGTAAAACTCTAAAGAAATCATTTAAAAAAAACCGACTTTCTTCGATTTCCTTAGAATACCATCAAAATTCTAAAAGAGCCCATTTTAACCAAATACATCGCTCTTCTTTCTCCACCTTTCACATTCATCTTGGGGCCCAATTCCCTGCTGCCTGTTTTCCTAGGACCATCCTGCTCTGGAGACAATCCTATGTGCTTCCTCTTTCTTTAAGAGCACTTTTTTCTTTCTCAAATCTGGCTCCCTATTGCTCTCCTTCATGAATGTCAGACTACATGATAGACCTTCTGATTAGAAGACAAAGATTAGCCGAAACCGGTTTGGCTCAATGAATAGAGCATCGGCCTGCGGACTGAAAGGTCCCAGGTTTGATTCCGGTCAAGGGCATGTACCTTGGTTGTGGGCACATCCCCAGCAGGGGGTGTGCAAGAGGCAGCTGACCGATGATTCTCATGGATGTTTCTAACTCTCTATCCCTCTCTCTTCCTCTTTGTAAAAAATCAATAAAACATATTAAAAAAAAAAAAAAAAAAAAATATATATATATATATATATATATATATATATATATATATATACTATTGCCATGTTCAAATGAAATAAAAAAAAGACAGATTAATTTTTTAAAAAGCAAATGATTTTTTAAAAATGGACAATGATCTGACATTCTGGAACAGAAAAAACTGTAGAGACAAAGGTCTGATTGGTGGTTGCCAGGGTGGGGTGGGGGTGGGGTTGACTAGAAGAAACTTCTGGAGTGAAGGGTCCATCACAATCACCATCTTGATTGTGGTGGTGGTTATACAACTGTTAGTTTTGGGCAAAACTCATAGGACTATACTTCAAAAAGGTGCATTTTTGCTGTATATAAATTATATACCTCAATTAAAAAAATGATTCTTAGGCAAATCCAAATTAAGAGACATTCTATAAAATAACTGGACTGACTCTTCAAAAATACCAGTGTCACACACTCACACACACACAACACAAAAATTTAAGACACTGTTCAAAGTTAAAGGAAACTGAAAAGACCTAATCATTAAATACTTTGTGTGATCGTACATTAGGTCCTGGCCTGAAAAACATGGCTGCAAGGAACAGAACTGGGACAATTAATGCATCTAAAATATGGATTGTAGATTAGATAATAGTATTGATATTGCTGTAATTAACCTAGTTATAAATAACAGGAAAGGAGCAAAGGGAAGGCCAAATATATATATTTTATGGAATCTTTTGCTTATTTTTATTTCTTAAATTAAATCTTTATTGTTGAAAATATTATATGTGTCCTCCTTCCCCCCATTGACCCTGTTTAGGCCCTCCCCCTCCCTCAGGCCTTCACCACTCTATTGGCTGTGCCATGGGCTGTGCATTTACGCATACAAGTGCTTTGGCTGATCTCTTCCCACCCAGTCAGCCTCACCAGGAAGGCCAAATAGTATGGGCATGTGGGCATGCCACTCGTGCCGCTTTGCCAGGAAGCTGCCATTTAGATGCATGCCCAGCAAAGTCTGGGTGAAACAGGGAAGGTACTGTCTGTCAGTCACAACAGGTCATTGGTCTGAGCAGATTAAGCCCATAACTCGGGCATGTGGCCTTGACCGGAATCGAACCCAGGACCTTTCAGTTCGCAGACCAACACTCTATCCACTGAGCCAAACCGGTTTTGACATTAAGCTGATGATTTAAAAAATATATATATTTTTATTGATTTTTTTACAGAGAGGAAGAGAGAGGGATAGAGAGTTAGAAATATCAATGAGAGAGAAACATTGATTAGCTGCCTCCTGCACACCCCTTACTGGGCATGTGCCCGCAACCAAGGTACATGCCCTTGACTGGAATTGAACCTGGGACCTTTCATTCCACAGGCTGAAGCTCTATCCATGAGCCAAACTGGTTAGGGCTAAGCTGATAATTTTGAATAATGTGATAGTATCCAGACGGCTATTGGCAGAAAAAGGTCCCTTTCCCCTGTGAAAAGGAATCAGCTCTTTTGGTCTGCGCATGCTCTTGCTCTTAGTTGGTCCTTGGTTTGCGGGGCCCTCATGCTTCTGCATTTGCCCAGCTGGCCCACTGCCACGTGGACTCACGCACGATGGACTAGTGAACTGCACCACTTACTGCTCCACCACACCCAGCTCCACGTGGAGGGGACACTCCGGGCACTGGCTTTGTCCTAGCTCTGCTGACTGCCCAGCTGCAGCTTCCAGGACTGGGTTAAGGGAAATGGGACTTTGGGAATCCAGGGATGGAATCCCATGCAAATGAAAATCACCATCCTCCTGTGCAAACCTCAGAAAACTCTTTACTCAACCTACAGGAAGGACCCCACTCCCACGCGCAACAAAGACAGGCCCTCTACGCATTTCTTGGAGAACAGTACTGTGTTGATGTGGCGTTTCCTGAGTCTGGGAGCTGTGCTGTGGCGAGGGCCAGCTCTCCCGGTCTGAGGAGGCGCCATCTGAGTACGGAAGGGGTCTGACACGGCAAACATGCCGTCAGATGGCTCAGAAAGAACACATCCATGTGGGAAGAACAATACGTCAGCATGGCAAATGCTGAAAGCTGGTGTCCTTGTAAGGGATAAAGCGGAGTTCTTGAATGACTTGCAAATTTTCTAAAGTTCAGGAATTTCAAAAAATTTTAAAAATGTAAATGGCAGTGATATTTGGATCAACACCTCGTCCAGGGAGAAAGGCTGGCTTCTTCAGAGAAGAGGAAAATCCCAGGAGGGTCGGCGAGAGTTAGTGCAGAGGTCTGCAAACTTTTTTTTTTTGAAAAAGCAGAACCTTATGCCATACACACATCTGGGCAGCTCAGAGCTGCTCGCCCGGCCCCCTTGCCCACACAGCAGTTTGAACTCCATTGCTGAGACCCACCTCTTCCTCTGCCCACGCCTGGGGCCATGCCGCTCCCCATCCCTCCCCCCCCCCCCCACTCACCATCCGTGTTCTCCAGCACCGTGCTGTGCTTCACGAAGGCCACGTCCCCGGCCCCTTCCGCCAGGCACCTGCAGAGGAGAGAGCTGTGAGCCTGGGTGGCTCTGAGCCCCTCCGCCTCCCAGCCTCTCCCTCTGGAGGTCCAGCCTGGACCACGGGGCGGCCACGGTGGGCACGGGTGGCCAGCTCTCTGGGTGGCTTTGCCAAGTGGTGGGGCCTTCCCAGCCTTACACCCGTGAGGGGAGGGTGAACAGGTGGCCCCTCTGGGAGAGACCCTTCGTGACCTGTACCAACCCTGAGCATCCGGAGCCTCAAAGGAGTGGCTCCTGTGGCAGCTGCTACAGGCAGCAGGGTTTGAAGATGACCTGCCCTGAAGCAGGGGGCAGCCTAGACCTTCTCACCATAACAAAAACCCGGAGTGCAAGGGGCAGGACTGTTGGGCCTCCTCTGTATGTCCTGGCCCAGTGCTGGAAAACAAGCCAGTTTCACTAAAACAGAGATGTTGACAGGAAGCCAGGAAGGCTGGTCAACAGCCTTAATTGCTCTAACCTTTAGTTGAGATATTGTTAGCTGAAGCAGCCTCCACCTTGTTTGTCCTCTCTTGTCAGTTTCTGTTATTTCCTGCCTAAGGGCTACCTGTAAATTTCTGTTTATGTTGCCTGAGATGTTTCCCCCAAAGCCTCAATAAAAGGGGCTGGCAGGGCCAGAGCAGGAGTTCTCCCACTAGAGTCGGCCTGGCCTACTGCCTGGCCCCCCCTATCGCCGAGTGGAATTTCTTCAGGTCTCAAGTCTCTTCATTTGTCTGTGGCACGCAAGTCGTGAAAGAGATTCTTATATCTGGCCCCCAATGTACAGCCCGGGGGTGGGGGGTGGGTGGCAGGGGCTGCCTGGTCCAGGGGGAGCACCCAGGAGAGTGGGTGGGCCAGTCTCTGGCTGGAGGACAGGGGACTGTTTTCCTCTCTGTGCTAAAATCCACATTTACCCAGATCCCAGCTGGAGTGTGGGCACCCGCAGCCCCCCTTCTCCCCCCTACCCCCCATCCGCTTCCCGTGGAAACACTGAGGCCAGGGGGGCTCCAGGGGCTCCGTGTTTATGGACAGACAGACAGACAGACGTGCCCCACCGCTGTCAGACCACCTCTGGGTCCACAGGCTCCTCTGATGTGCCAGCCTGAGCCGGGGCCCCACCCCACCCCCCTCGCCCTCCCCGCTGCCCAGAGCCACGGAACGGGCACAGGGGAGTGGCCGAAGGTTGTTTTGTCACTTTCTCTCCCTGCGCCCTCCCCTCTACATAGAGCAGACCTGTTGATTCATGAGCAGAGCCGGCCTGGCTGCTGGGGTGTTGTTTTAAACCAGCCGGGCACAGCAGCCGCATAAAGGGCGCTTTGATGTGAGGCAGGACACGGCCGCGCCCGGGCCTCCCTGCCCCAGTGCTTTTCCTCCCGGCTCTGGGCCTCAGGGCCTCCCCCGGCTCCCCACACTCACCGGAAGGCCCCGCTGTAGTCGTAGTACCGCTCCCGGGGGCTCTTGTCGCACACCCCCTCCCCGGCCGCGTCGCCCCGGCACAGGCGGCAGAGGGACTCGGAGGAGCTGGTCTCTCCCGCCCCGGGGACGCAGCTGCCCCCGAAGTACTCGCTGACAGCTGCGGGGGAGGGCGGCCAGGGTCAGCCCGCGGTGCAGGGGGTCAGCCCCCCCTGGCGTGGCCACTCAGGCTGGAGGGGAGGGCTGGCCCCTTCAGGCTTCAGTGTGAGCAAAACAAGTGTGGGCCTTGGGGAGGGACCGTTGTTCTTCAAACATGGCTCAGGACGCAAACCACTGACCCCAAAGGCCGCACAGGACCACTAATGTCAACCAGTTACTGATCTCAGGGAGGGTTTCACGCCCACATCGTAGGGGTCATCAACGAAAGCCGGAAAGACATCCAGTTACTTAAGGAGATTAATTAATTTATGGACAGCCGAAACCGGCTTGGCTCAGTGGCTAGAGCCTCGGCCTGAGGACTGAAAGGTCCCGGGTTTGATTCCGGTCAAGGGCATGTACCGTGGTTGCAGGCACATCCCCAGTAGGCAGTGTGCGGGAGGCAGCTGGTCGGTGATTCTCTCTCATCCATGTTTCTCACTCTCTATCCCTCTCTCTTTTCCTCTCTGCAAAAAATCAATAAGATATATTTTTAAAAAATTATATACCAATTTATGGGCAACGCTTCTCAGAAACGGAGGAGAGGGAGGCGTTGTGGGTGAAGAGGTCGGACTCGTGGTTCCAGGCCCTGCCAGCCCCGGGGCCATGCCCGCCCTCTTGACAAATATTTGTCCTGTCTGACAGCGCCATGCGGGGTGCGGGGGCCGGTCACACAGGGCTCATCCCGGACAGACGCCGGACAGAGGCAGGCCCTCCCAGGTCTCCTGCATCCTCCCAGGGAGAGAATGATACACCACCGCCCGTGACTGTGCACCGCCCCGCCCGCGCCCCGGGCAGGGTGCGGAGAGTGTGTGTGACTCCTCTCGGTGCTTCCCGCCCCACAGCTCTCCTCGCTCCTCCCCGCCAGTCCCCTCCCAGGGCGGCCTCCCTCAGGGAGCTGTCCTTCACATTCCCGTTTCACAGGATGAGGACATGGAAGCTCAAGGAGCTGGAGTCATCCATCTGATAGCAAACTCGGGGCTTTCAAAGCCCATTGTTTCTCCCGCAAAATCCTGCAAAAATCCTGCATCCTGCCCCCCCCTCCCCCCAAGCACCGGTCCGCCAACCAGGAGGCAGCACGCTGTGGACAGGGGCCTGGGGACACCACAGGCTCTACTGGGGGGAGGGTGTGATCCCCGGAGGACAGTGTGAGAACGCGGTGGTCACGTGTCCGGGGCCACCTCGGCGCTGTGTTGTGTCCACTGTGCAGAGAGTGTCCCGGCCAGGCGGCCGGGAACAGGAGCCCGGCAGGAGGAGCGGGGCTGCTGCCTTCCCCGGACACCCCACCCGCTGCATCCTCCCCTCCGCTCCCCCTGCAGACCCTCCTGTCTGCACCCCAGCCCTAGCCCCTGTCCAAAGGTCCGATTCCCTACGTGCGAACCTTCCGGGTACAGATCAGCAGCTTGTCTGGGTCCTGAAGAGACAGAGTTTCTGACTATGAAGTTGAGGACACGTTTCTGGAAATAGTGACCCACACCAGGTCTATACCGGGTGAGAGCAGCTCTTTGGTGCATCACCAGGTCCCAACGGGCTGGGCCCCGGTGCCAGGACACCGAGACAGAGAGTGAGAGGGAGCTGAGGGCTCTGGGCGGGGGTAGGGGTGAGGGTGGGGGTGGGGGCGGGGTCAAGGAGGAGAAAGAGGGGGCTCCCCAGAAACTAAAGCCGTGGCGACAGTGGGCCGCCCAGCATGAAGACAGGAGGGGCTGAAACACCCATCTGTGTCTGGAGGCCCCTGGGGAGGGGGCACTGTGCTTTCCTTAAGGAGACACGAGATGAAGGCGAGCTGGAGGCAGGGATGAGGCGGGGAGCACGGGGCCCGGAGCCCAGGAGGAGCCGGCCCTCACCTCTGAGCACGTCGCAGCCCATCACCGAGAGGCTGCCGCTCTCCACCAGGTAGCCCACGGGCACGTTCCAGCCCACCGTCCGGTTGATGCCCGTGTGGCAGGACTTGGCGCCCTTCAGGCTGCTGAGGGTCAGGTTGGAGCCCCTCTGGACCACGGCCACCGCGTAGTAGGAGGTGCCGACCTCTGGACAGAGAGAGGGGAGGGTGAGGGCAGCGAGGGAGGAGCACAAGAGAGGCCGGGCCGGCCCCAGAAGGCTGTGGGAAGAGGGGGTGTGCGCCACGCAAACCTGCGCACAAATGGGTGTGTATGGATGTCCGTGTGTGTGTGTGTGTGTGTGTGTGTGTGTGTGTGTGTGTTTGGGGCTCTCGTTACTGAGAGAGCCAGCGAGTGCAAGCCCTGTGTCTTATCACAGACCCTGCCCACCCCCCCCTCCACGTGGCAGATATTATTCCGTTGGTTAATTTTCACCTTTCCTTCCCAAGTCAGCGGGCACATCGCTGGGCCTACGTGTGTCTGTGTCAGGGCAGCCCTGCAGCTGGACCGACAGCAGGCGTGGCCTGCACGTTCTGTTTCCCAAAAGCAAAGCCCCTCGGAGAGCTTAGGAGGACGGAGCGAGTGCTGCTGTGGTTATGGGGAAAGAGCCGGGCAGTGGCTTCCCTCAGGTTAGAAAAAGTGAAAAAGTGATCTCCTAGTGCTGAGGGGAAAGGAGAGATGATAGATAGACAGATAGATAGATACCGTGTTTCCCCGAAAATAAGACACCCTTCGAAAATAAGACCTACTTACAGGTTTCCTTCTGAGTGAAATATAAGGCATCCCCCCAAAAAGAAGGCCCCTCCAGGCTCTGTCTCAGAATGCTATTGCTAAACATGAGAGATTTGGTCCACTAATTCTGAAAGAAATGGAGTCACAAGAAATTCACCAGGAAATTTAGGAATTGGATTGTTATGATGATGTTCCAGAAGATGATGACATGATTGTCATTGAATAAATGAGTAAATTCTTGATACTGTAGGATTCACAGTTTGTCTGGTTTGTGTTGACAACTACCATACTACCGCACCGTATACGGGTAATGAATTCCCACGGCCGAGCAGCGTGAGTCAGTGCTCCGGGGAGCAGGGACAGAGGCCCTTTGCAGGGGCAGAGCCCCAGGGGAGCTCCTTGGCAATGACCGTGGGCTGGGCTGTGACGGGATTGGGCCTGGGACAGCGGAGGCGGTGGGAGAGGCACAAGGGCTGGCGGAGCCCGAGGAGTGTCTGGTCTGAGGTGCAGGGACCGGGGCAGAGGGACTCCCATTTCTGATCGCACATGCTCCCACATGGGCTCAGAGGGCCTGTGTGACAGGGCAGGGATCCCTGTCCCCACGTTATAGGCAGGAAGGGAAGGGCGTCCGAGGGCACAGGAGGTCGCAGGAAAGGGTAGAGCTGGGACTCAAGTTTGGCGCGTGGGCTCTGCGGCTCCTGGTCACCGCCTCTTGTCTGGCCCTCCCTCCCCCCCTCCTGCAGCTTCTGACAGATGCCACTCAGCTGTGCTGACGCCCCGGCCACCCCAGGACGTCACGCCCAACACTGTGCCAGGCTCGGGCAGCCCCTCAGTGAGCGTTTGTGGGTGAAAGTTAGGGGGCCGCAGGGATCCCTGTGAGGAAGAACAGATGCGGGTCAGCCCTCTGCATCTCTGGCACCCTCCCCCCTTGCAGAAATTTAGAGGGGCCTCTGAGGGTTTGTGTGGCCAGGACCCCAGGACTGCTCTGGGGTCAGAGCTACTGACCAGCTCCAGGGAGACAGGGTTGGGCCAGGCCCAGCAAGGACACCCGCCTGGCTTCTGCTCTCTCCCACCCCCCTCCCACTGGGCCCTCTGACCTTGATCATACACTTCGCCCACCGCGGGCTTCAGGCCGTGCTCCTTCCCCGCCTCGTAAATGGCTCCTCCGTCCAGAGTGATGGCATCTGCTTCCCCAGCCTGCTGGGGACCCGTGAGTCAGCACCCCCACCCTGCACCCGGCCTTCCCCACCTCCCCCTCCCCACACGGGGACACTCACTCAGGGCCCCTTGAAAAGCCGCCCCCCCCCCAGGCCCACCCTGTCCTGGCTCCGCCTTGCAGGCCCCTCCCCCACCGGGGCCAAGGCGACAGCTCTCCTAGGCCAAGGCTCGCCTTGTTTTTCTGACGATGTGGTTTGAAAAGCATGGATTTTATAGGCCTTATAACAGATGTCCGTGGTAACAAGTCAGTACAAAACGGTATGCAGTGAAAAGTGGGTCTCCCTCGCTCTCCTGTTTCTCAGCCCCCTGCTGACCTCTCCTCAGGGTTTCTCTCTGCGATGCAGACTGAATTGCATCCCATTTCCCCCTTTTCCTTTTAAGACGCCAATGGCAGTATACTACCCGTATGCCATGGCGCCGTGAATAGAATTATAGTCCAGCAGAGTTGGTTTGCGCCCTCAGAGTGGAGCCTGGCCCAGGTGGGACTGGACAGGGCCTGGGGGCATGTCACAGGCTGAGGGGAAGGAAACCCAGGTCCCCTGTGCCTACCCCTGACGCTCCCCCCACAGCTGTCCTGCCTCTGAGTGAGCAGGTCTCCTGCCACTCAGAACTGCTTTCCCCCCCAACTCAGCCACCCAGGGCCTCTGTCCGCGGGTCCTCCTTCCCCAGGAACCACACAAGCCCCGTCTGGAAAACGCCTTGGCACAGCGAGTGGCCCACCACCGAGGATTCTGTGACTGGGCTCCCTCAGCGGGGCGGGCAGGGTCCCCATTCTAGCAGGGGCCTTGCGGGAGGAAGACTCTGCCTCTCGGACACCTTTCCCCGCGGGCAGGGCCCATCCGAGCAGGGGCCTCTCCCCGGCCTCCCAGCGCCTGGCTGGGCCTGGGGCCTGGGCAGGAAGCAGGCTGGCCCTGGTTCCCTTGGAAACCCAGGAGATCCTATCGTCCAGCCCTGGCGGCGGTGACGGTGGGGGGACATGAGTGCCCTTCCCAGTGAATGGGGCTGTTGTGTGCTCCCTCCCGAGTCAGAGGCGGAGGCGGCAGGGCGGAAGGAGGGGACGCACCGTGATGAGCTGGACGCAGTGGTCGGCGGAGGTGCCCTGGACGCACCGCAGCGGGGGCTGGACCCCGGCTCCCTGGAAGGCGTTGCTCATGTCGCTGCATTTCTGCTGCTCTGGGTCCGAGGTGGTGCACCACCGCACCTCCACCCCGCTGAGCACTGGGGGCAGGGGACAGTGAGGCCCGGCTCCGGGCAGCCCAGCCCCCTCCGTGCAGGGGGCTCCGGAAGCTCTGGGCCACCCAGTCTGCAGAGCACAGCCCTGCCCCGGGGGCACTGAGGCACAAAGGGGAGCCACAGACTGGGAAGCGCTGGCTCCCTGGCAGGGCCGTGTGTGGGGCCAGGCATGTCCCCGGCCCAGGGTGGATGGGTGGCTCCAGCCTGGCCTGGCCCCTACCAGAGGCAACGGAGTGCCTGCAGGTACCAGCTGGCTGCTGAGACCCTCCTGGGAGCCTGCGGCTCTGTGAGGGGGTGGCTCCTGCCCCGCTGGGGTCTCCGGGCCACCCCGGAGCTGAGGAAGGAGGCAGGGAGGTGGCTGTGGCTGCCCTCAGGAGCCTCGCATCCTCGTGGAGCACCTGGGATCGTTGCCAACCCACCCTCAGGGCGCACAGTGCCAGGCCCCTGACAAGCACCTAGTTCCCGCTCCTCCCGCTGGTGACTCCGGACAACGGACTTGACCTCTCTGGTCCGTTTCAGATGAGCAGCCCGCCCCTGTGTTGTGAGCAAACCTGAGCGGAGCCAGGACACAGGTCCTCATGGCCGCCAGCCCCTCCCTCTGGGGGGGACCCTGTGGGTCCCTGATCTGACCAGGCCAGAGTCCCTGAGACCTCCACCTGGGGACCAGGGCTCCCGGGGTTCCGAGGCGGATGCCTTTGCAGACCCAGCTCCGCGGCACCCCCCCCCCCCCCAGCCCAGCCAGACTCCCCACCTCCCCCGCGGCTTTGGGTCCAGCCTCCACCTCCGCCTCCCATCCCCGCGCCAAGGGTCCGGATGCGGGTGTCCTCATCCCCCCTCCACTACCCTCCACTCCCAGCCAGGGCGGCACCCCCGAATGTGGACCCCCCCCCGCCCCAGTGCTCAGGGCTGCACCCCGGCGGGTGGGTGGGCGGCGGGTGGCGGGTCCCAGCGGGTTGAGCGCGCCCTGCAGTGTCCGCCCCCGTCCCGGCCCTGACTCCCCCTGGGGCCCTCTCTCCGCCCCTGCGCCCCGCAGGCAGGGGCCCTGGAGCGGCCTCCCCCCCCCCTCCCTCCAGGGACCCTCCTGCTTCCGTCCCGAGGGGACTCCGGAGAGGGGGGGCTGCTCTGGCCCCCCAACCTCCTCCGGCTTCCACGCCCTCTCCCGGCCTCTGACACCAGCCCGCTCCTCCCGCCTCCTCCAGCCCCGCTCCACGCCGCCTCCTCCGGGAAGCCCTCCGGCATCCCGCCTGCCCGGCTCCGCGCTAGTGCCCTGAAGCGTCCTCATCCGCCAGACGCGGGTTCGGGACCCCCTCCCGCCCCCGGTGCCGCTCAGGGGCGATGGGAGCTCCAGGCCCCCCGCCCCGGCCCCCGCTCCCGCTCCCACCCGGCCGGGCGGCGGGCTCACCGGTGCGCAGAGCCAGGAGGAGCCCCAGGGCCGCACTCGGGCCCCGCATGGTGGGCGCGGTCTGGAGCCGGACTGGGTCTGGGTCTGGGTCCGAGCAGGTGAGCAGCGGCCGGAGCTTTGTCCCCGCTGCCTCCCTGCCCGGCTCTCAGGCTCCTTAAAAGTGTGTTCGGGGCGGGCCTGGCCGTGTCCACGCCCCCGGGGCGTCCCCCCCCCCCCCCAGACTGGACACCTGGGCTGCCCAGGCCGGCCTCGGCCTTCACTCTGGCGCCCCTTGCTGGAGCCTCGGCTGGTGCTCACCTGGGCACCACACTCAGTGTCCCTGAACCAGGTGTCTGCTCTCCGAGGCCTGCTTCCTTCTGTTCAAGGGCTGCTCCAGGCGCTCTCTCCTGCGGGAGCACCCTCACTTCCTCACCCGGACCCCAAATATCATGTTCAACTGGAGAGGCAAAAGCTCAGCTTTGGAAGGAAGAAGAGGTCAGAGTCTGAGCTGGAAGGACGCTCAAAGGCCATCACACTCTCTCACCAGCCCCTCTACAAGCCCACGTTGCACCAGGATCTGGGGAGACAGAGGCAAAGCCTGATGGACACAGACCTGGCTGGGAAGGAGCTGGGGGGGGGGGGGGGAGGATTTCTCATTCCAGGCAACTGCCTCTCCTGGGACCTAATGAGGGAAGTGAGTGGCCAGGTCGCTCCTTTAGTCAGTGGCAGAGCTGGGACCAGAACCCAGGGGGCCGGCAGAGCTGGCTCACTCCATCATGCTTTGGAAGATGGAAGGAGACCAGAGAGGGGGAGAGGTGGAGGAAGCAGAGAAGGACAAAGCAGGTGAGCGGGGGAAGCGAATGAGGAAGGTGAGGGAGGTGAGGGTGGGTGGTCTATTTCTCCAGCCCACTGGTTTTCAAAGTGTGGTTCCCAGACCAGCAGCAGCATCACCTGGAACTTGTTAGATACGCAAATTGTCGGGCCCATCTCTGACCCACTGAGTCAGAAACTCTGGGGGTAAGGCCAACACTATGTTTTCTTCTTTCTTTCTTTCTTTCTTTCTTTCTTTCTTTCTTTCTTTCTTTCTTTCTTTCTTTCTTTCTTTCTTTCTTTCTTTCTTTCTTTTAAGTATATTTTTATTGATTTCAGAGAGGAAGGGAAAGAGAGAGAGAGAGATAGAAACATGAATGATGAGAGAGAATCACTGATGGGCTGCCTCCTGCATACCCCCAACTGGGGACCGAGCCAGCAACCCAGGCATGTGTCCTTGACTAAAATCTATCCCAGGACCCTTCAGTCCACAAGCCCACGACGCTCTATCCACCGAGCCAAACTGGTGGGTAGGCAACACGACGATTTTTACCCTGGTGCACAGCCGAGTTTGAGAACCACTGTTCTAGGTTGATCAGGACTACAGCTCCCCATGTGTGGTGGGGACGTGTGGATGGACTGGAGAAATTGTTACAGAGTCATCCGCCTCCATATATGTCCTTCTCTTTTATCACCCCCTCATGAGCACCCAGGACTGCGATCCTGCCTGTCTCAGGTAGAGGACATTCTATATAATAAAAGCCTAATATGCAAATCAACTGAGCTGTGGAACCACTTGTCAGTGGGGGACAGGACTGGTGAGCAGAAGGTTCCAGGCCAGCCAAGGTGGGTGCCAGTGGGCAGAGGGAGGAATGGCGACAGGTGGAGGAGGAGCAATCAGGGGGATGGGGCCAGCCGCTCACAGGCTGGCATCATCCCACAGAGGGAGGCCACTGCAGGAGGCAGCAGTGGGGCAATGACAATGGGGGAGGAGGGGCAGGGCCAGAGCTGCCCCCTGGTGGTCGGTTCACTCCCGCTGCTCAGCCACAAGCTGGGCTGACAGCTGGCGAGTGCAGCAGCGTGGCAGGAGCCTCTTCCACTCCCTCAGCAGTGCTGTGTCTAACTGCGGCTTACTCCCCGAGGGCTCCAGACTGCGAGAGGGTGCAGGCTGGGCTGAGGAACCCACCCGACTGCACACATTTTTGTGCAATGAGCCTTTTGTGTGTAATAAGAATGCTAAGCGCGCGCGAGAGAGAACCCCTGGGTCCGGGTGTGTCAGTCCTCCAGCCTGCTCTGCTCCCTGGGGAAGGAAGCCCTGGCTCTTGGGATTATGCCTTGAAGCTGCAGATGCTCACACATGGACACGATCGTGGGGGCTGGGCTTCAGGAGACCTGAGCTCTACTCTTTTTTTTTTTCTTTTTCTTTTTTCTTAAATATATTTTATTGATGTTTTACAGAGAGGAAGGGAGAGAGATAGTTAGAAACATCGATGAGAGAGAATCTTCGATCAGCTGCTTCTTGCATGCCCCCCACTGGGGATGTGCCCGCAACCAAGGGACATGCCCTTGACCGGAATCGAACCCGGGACCCTTCAGTCCGCAGGCCGACGCTCTATCCACTGAGCCAAACTGGTTTTGGCATGAGCTCTACTCTTTAACCTCGGCCACGTTCCTTCTCTCTGGGCTGCGTGTGTATGTCAGAGGCAGATCATGATGGCTCTGCTGCACCGTTCTCCTTCCCCTAAGAGCTGCCTGCTCTGGGAATTTGAGGGGGCATGTGCGGTGCAGGCTGTGTATCCATCCCCAGCTGGCGTCACCAAGAGGACGAGGCACTGCTTTCTAACTCGCACAAGTGGACTAGCAGGTGGCCGTGGCAGAGGGGCCAGGCTTCTCCTAAGGGTGTGGGATGCATAAAGTATCCTCAGCAAGCCTCATCCTCCTGCCTGAGGATGAAAAGGCCTGTTTTTGCAACTCCGAGAGCAACCAGAAGGTATTGGCAGGGTTTGTGTTAAGTTGTTCCTTTAGCAAAGCTCTGGGGGACACTGATAAGGTGTCAGACAGCTGCAATCTAAGAGCTTAGTGAGCTCCTTCCCAGCAAGGCCCTTTCCTTAACTCTCAGGTCACCCCTCCACGGTGTCACCAGGGAATTTGCTGTCTCTGGATTCCAGCAGCTTCTAGATCAGGCCATTGCCTGGCTCTCACATGCACATAGCTTGTGTGTCATGGGGAACTCGGCCTCAGCTTGAGACTGGATCCTGCCATTTCTGGGATGCAGACTTACCCAGGTGGTCAGAGGATTGGGTGGGGTGCAATGAGGGTGTAATGAGCTAGCCATTTTACCAAAGAACAGCCTTACAGAGAAGCAGAAGCACTCAGGTTAATTGGGTCCCCGTTCTGGACTCATTGAGGTAAGTGTATAAAAAATACAAGGACTGTTTGCACTGAGGCTTCTGTAAGATGCTGGGGCCGAAGCACACTGCTTTGGGACCCGAGACCCTAATCCATGATATGAAATACAAAGAGCTCTTCTTCACTCTGCCAAGGCCACAGCCCTGGCACTCCCAGGACTCAGGGTGCCCACCAGCATGGAGCTTACTGGCCAGGGAACTGGAACAGAGTAAAGAGCCTCTGGGGATTCAGAAAGCTGAGGGAGGGCCTGTGACAAGGCAGAGAAACTGTACTGGTGGGGTGACAGGGCTAATGAGCCAGCAAAGTGTGGATGAACAAGTCTTCTGCCCAGAATATTAGAAAAATTAATCGTTTTTCATTTCAACAAGTCATACTTTATGTGTTTCTATTTCTAGAGGCTGTAATGTCTTTGACTAAGAACATGTCCAGCCCTAACCGGTTTGGCTCAGTGGATAGAACATCAGCCTGCGGACTGAAAGGTCCCGGGTTCGATTCCAGCCAGGGGCATGTACCTTGGTTGGGGGCACATCCCCAGTAGGGAGTGTGCAGGAGGCAGCTGATCAATGTTTCTCTCTCATCGATGTTTTTTCTATCCTCTCCCTTCCTTTCTGTCTGTAAAAAAAAAAAAAAACCACAATAAAATTAAATTTAAAAAAGAACAATGTCCAAACATTTTCTTATTATGGGCACATCTGGATGAGCTGTCATACACAGAGAAAATTAGGAATGCAGCAGTATGTCAGCAAAGAATATCACCATCTTACAGTAAGACTCAATGTCATTGATAGATTCTTATAAACTATAAGGGCAACGACATATAACAAAACCAATTTGCTATAAGCTAATTGGTATAACAGGAGTTAAGTTCCTATGGCACATTTTTAGTCATAAAGATGTTTCCAAATCCCTAAATAAAGACTCAAACACTCCTTTTTTAAAATTTATATTTTCCTTATTGATTAAGGTATTACATATGCGTCCTTATGTCCCCGTGGCCTCCCATGACCTCACCTGAAAACACTTCTAATACTTTTGACCTCACCTGAAAACACTTCTAATACTTTTGAAATAAATACGAACTACACAGACATTTAAGAACGATCAGTAGGATAACTGTTTTCCAACCTGCTTATTTCAGTTCAGGGGCTTGGTGGCCAGAACCTATCCTGCCATCACCCCTGGATTGGATGTAGGGCACACCCCGATACCCCACTCACTCAGATGGAGGCAACGCTAACACCCCCATTCACCACACGTGCACATCTTTGGGATGTGGGAGGAAACCAGAGGATCCGAAGGAAACCCGCACAGATATGAGGGGGACGTGCCAACCCCACACAGACAGCGGCACCAGCAGAGAGGTTTTTTCTTCTCAACATTATAATGAAACTTGAGGCATGGGTGGTTTCTAGCAGCCTGCCCCGATTTGGGTTGAGGGGCAATTTGCATACTAGCCTTTTATTATATCAGATGATGCTTTTTGAGGACCTGCTGTACTCCTGACATCATTCACCACGAATTTGCTGACTGGTCAATAAATCTGAATTTGTATATTGAGATCAATGGCAGACATATTGAGGGTTTTGGGAACAAAGGTTTTTGCCACTTTACAAGTATTTTCCTTATGAAGCTGGACTTGGAGAAGCCTGCTCAGAGAAGATTTGACTTTGGGTGGTGGGCACATGGTACTGTATACAGATTTATTTTTTTAAAACAGTTATGGAAGCAGGACTTCATGTTCTTTCATTCTTTCTTTTTGTAAAAAATGTTTTTATTGATTTCAGAGAAGAAGGGAGAGGAATAGAGAGATAGAAACATCAATGATGAGAGAGAATCATATAATCGGCTGCC